GTAAGATTTTCTCTCTCAGTTGTGATTATTTTGTATAGGCTAGAACACTTGTTGAAAGAATTTTCTAAGACATGTTTTTCTTATTTCTTTGTTGAGGAGATGTTTATAGCATAGATCTAAAATACTTGATTCAATTTCTCCTCCTTAATAAAAAAAAAATTCCTTTTTATCAGGATGAAGTAATCACTTTATTAAGTTATTTACATTATATTCAGTTTGATTTTTTACATTGTCATTTGGCTTTCATTTTTGGTTCGTTTTTCACAAACAAAATTTTTGTTACCAGAGCTCCTTATACACAATTCTTAGAGCAACAGAGACTGTATTAGTTTCCTATTGCTAGTATAGCAAATTACTATTTAGTTTAAAACAACATAAATGTGTTATAGTTCTGGAAATCAGAAGTCCAAAATGAGTTTCACTAGGCTAAAATGAAGATGTTTGGCAGGGCTGTGTTCTTCTAGAGGTTCTAGGGGAGAATCTGTTTCTTTGCAACTTTTCTGAAGCTGTTTCCATTCTTTGCCTCATGGCCCTCTTTCATTATCAAAGCCAGCAATGGATAGTCAGTCTTTCTCATATTGCATCACTCTGATACTGACTCCTCTACCTTCCTTTTCCATATTTAAGGACCCTTCTGATTGCATTGGGCTCACCTGGACAAACCCACATACCCTATTTTAAGGTTAGCCAATTTACAAACTTAATTCCATCTGCTCCCTTCATTCCCCTTTGCCATGTAACATAACATATTCACAATTTGGGAAGATTAGGATATGGAAGACTTTGGAGGCTACTTCTCTAGAGACACATTAAGATTTTGTATGATTGGCTAGATTTTGGCACAAGCCTTATGACTGAATTCCACATGGCAGCCTTACAATGAGCAAGATTAAAATTTGTGCCATGACTTCTGGCTTCTGCTTAGGATGTAGAAAACTAAAATGATATTGCTTCTACCCTTCCACCAAAAAACACCGGACTGTCTGGAAATTCAAAACTTTCCTTGAACCCATCAGAGATTGCAGAGCAGTCAACCCCAAATCTAAAGAAAGGTGCCTCCAAGGAGAGACCAGATGCAAGCACTTGCTCTTTGGGGGCAGATGCAGCCAGATACCATAAAAGCCAGTAAGAATAATTCAACCAAAAAAACATTTTTTTGTCTGCGCCACGTGGTTTGCAGGATCTCAGTGCCCCGACCAGGGATTGAACTCCAGCCCCCTGAAGTGGAAGCACGGAGTCCCAACCGCTGGACCACCAGGGAATTCCCTTAGCCAAAATTTTTAATGAATTGCTTAAAGCTGAGTATGGTCTAGTGTGAGAATATAGAACCCTTAGTAGCTACATAAAACAAGGGAGAAGTTGCCCTCACTTGCAAGCTTCTCTCCACACATTTTACAAGAAATACTGAGGGTGGAATAACAGTCTTGAGAAAGCCTGGAGGAATGTAATAGAAGACACTGCAAAAAAGGCATAAAGCCTTGCTTGGACCCTTCTATCTCCTCTATGTTAACAAAATCAACAAGCTTTAAGCCACAGCAGGAGGAGGGGGAAAGGTTGTGGGGAGGAAGAGCAGCAAATGCAGTTGCCCTTAGGGAAGACGTGGAGACACAACTCACCTGGGAAACAGAAAACTACCTCTACCCCAGAGGCCAGGAATACATACTGGGCCAAGAACAAGTTTGCTACAGCTGGGGCATGGCTGGATTACTGAGAAGACCCTATTCCAAGACCCAGGAACAAAACCCAATGCTGATGCTGATTGAGAACAGAGAATACCTACCACTACCAGGCTAACAAACATCAACTGACAGGTAACAGCAGTCTACTGCTGGGAGAAGGGCACAAGTGTGGAAAAGACCATTTCTGAGAAGACACAAAAGACCTAAAACTGAGAGTGGAGCAGATGCTGATGTGGAAGTAAACTAACAGAAAACAAAAACCTCTGGCAAGGTAGTTTACATCGTTGCGGAGAGGAATTTGAAGCATGTAGAGTAGTAAAGGTAATCATAGTAACAACAAAACCCAAACACAGCCCAACTCTCAATTCCCTTCCAGATTGACTTAATTACCCATGCTTAAGACCAAACAGAAAAACAAAAAGCCCATTTCAAGGCCTGAAAACTATTTACCTCATCTTTACTGCATTACACAATATGTCTGACTTTCAACAAAAATTATGAAGTCTACAAAAAAGCAATGGAAAAAATAAACACACTGTCAAGAGACAAATCATCAGAACCAGTTTTAGATATGACAGATATTAGAATATCAGACAGGAAATTTTAAGTAACTATGATTAATATAGTAAATGCTCTAGTGGAAAAGATGGATAGATAACATGTATGATCAGATATGTAATTTGAGCAAGACATGGAAACTATAGGAAAGAAGACAACATAGGCCAATGGAACAAAATTGAGAGCCCAGCAATAAACCCTCACAAACACAGTCAAGTAATATTTGACAAGGGAGCCAAGAATACTCAATGGGAAAAGGATAGTCTCTTCAATAAATGGTGTTGGGAAAACTGGATCACCACAGGTAGAATAATGAAATTGGACTCCTATCTTATACCACTCACAAAAATTAACTTGAAATGGAGTAAAGAACTGAAACCATAAAACTCTTAAGAAGAAAACATAGTGGAAAATCTCCTTGACATATGTATTCACAACAATTTTTTGGATATGGTATCAAAAGCACAAGCAACAAAAGCAAAAATTAGTAAGTGGGACTACATCAAACTAAAGAGCTTCTGCATAGTAGAAAACTAAATGAAAAGACAACTCACGGAATATATTTGCAAATCATATCTGATAAGAGGTTAATATCCAAAAGATAAAAGGAGCTCAGTTCAATAGCAAAAAGGAAACTATCTGATTTTAAAAATAGGCAGAGGAACCGAACAGACCTTTTTCCAAAGAAGACATACAGATGTCCAACAGGTACATGAAAGGATGTTCAACATCACTAATCACCAGGGAAATGCTAGTAAAAACTGCAATGATATATCACCTCACACCTGTTAGAATGGCCATTATCAAAGCGACTACAAATAACAAATATTGGCAAGGATGTAGAGAAAAGAGAACCCTTGTGCACTGTTGGTGGGAATGTAAATTGGTGCAGCTACTATGGAAAACAATATGGAAGTCCCTCAAAAAATTAAAAATAGAACTCCCGTGTGATTCAGCAATCCCACTTCTAGCAGGTAGACTGAATCTTTCCCCTGATCTCCTGCCAGGCTGTAGTGTGGTGTGAGGGGCACTGGGCACTTGCCGCTTCAAATTGGGAAGTGTGACAAGGTGGCAGCCATCAGTGCAAGTCTCTCTCTGCTCTGATTGTTGGCAAGCCAGCACACGTGCACTCCTCACAATTAGAGTCTAGCCTTCTCCAGCTCTTCTGTCTCAGTGGATTTCCCAACAGGCATGGGGGCTCCCCAGGGCAAGGGTCCACCTGTGTGGACCTTCTCTTCCTTACAGACCCCTCCAGGGGTGCTGGTCCCAACCCGATGCCTTTCCCCCCACCCCAAGTCTACCCAGTTACATGGAGATCTTCCTTGCAGTTTTGGTTTTATAGGAGATATTCTGCCGGTTTCCAATTAGTTTTCTCTGAGTAATCTTCCACATGTAGATGTGTTTTTGTTTTGTTTGTTTGTTTTTTGCGGTACGCGGGCCTCTCACTGCTGTGGCCTCTCCCACTGCGGATCACAGGCTCCGGATGCACAGGCTCAGCGGCCATGGCTCACGGGCCCAGCCGCTCTGCGGCATGTGGGATCCTCCCGGACCGGGGCACGAACCTGTGTCCCCTGCATCGGCAGGTGGACTCTCAACCACTGCGCCACCAGGGAAGCCCCTAGATGTATTTTTGATGTGTTTGTGAGAGCAAGTGAGCTCCATGTCTTCCTACTCTGACATTGATCCCCCTCTCAATAAAAAAAAACTGTCTTTTAATCTCCTGATCTGTTAGCCTTACTATACCCCAGATTTTCCACAAATACACTATATATTTTAAAACATAGACAATCTATTGAGGAACATTCAAACGAATCACACTTCAGGCTTCTGAATATTTTATCTAGTGGCAACTAGTGTGAAATAGGCGATAACCAAATCTAAAAACACTTAGAAAATTCCAATTTGATATCAAAATATAGCAAATAATCCTCATTGAATACTCACTGCTGAGAAAATACTGGCTATGTTTATATCAATGTATATTAATAATGATGATAATATTAGCTCATATTTCCCATTTACTGAACACATTAACATATACTGCCTCAACCATCAGAATAAACATATGGAGTATACAAAGGAATTTATATTCTCATTTTTATTGCTGAGGATATAAATGTTTAGTGTGGTTAAATCAATTATTCAACCCTATACAGTTTTTGGAACAAAAATGTAACTTTTTAAATGGAATTTATTTTTATTTCTTTTAGGGTACTATAATTGATTCATAAACATTATTTTAAAAATAATAGGAGCTACAGATAGGGAAAATTTTAAAACAGTAATCACCTATGCTGAGAGGAAATCATGTTAATGTTTAAGCTATAGTCACACATATGTATATGGTAAAATTGTCCTTCACATAAAAACATATTATGATTGCCTTTATATGTTAACAAATACTTACAAGGTAACTTTTAATGGATACTTCATGATCCACTGTATGGATGTACTGTTGTTGGATATTTAGGTCCTTTCCAAGTTTTCACAATATTAATCTCCCCTTATGTCCATTTATGAACTTAGCTTATGTCTATGAGTCAGAAAGGTATATATCAAGCTTATCTCTTTTCTAATTCTCAGTCTTATATGATAAGACATTAACATTTCTATGTAGAGATTTCCTCTTTTGAAACTTGAGACTGACAATCCTCACAGGACTGTTGTGAGAATGAAATGTATAATGCTCCTAAAAAGGCTTTGACAAAAGATATTTTTAAACTCCTAATTTCTTTGACTAAATATACATATTTGTATCAACAGGTTTAAAACCTAAAAAAGACTTTTGGACCCACTGGAAGCTGAACGAACTCTCCACAACAACCATTCATGGTAGCAAGAAAACACCTTCAGAATCTATAAAGTACAGGATTGCAAGAAGTCAAGAACACATATCAACTTGTAAGTAAATTTATTATATACTGCTGATTGAAATAGCCAAAATCATGTGTATCATTATTTTTTTGTCAGAATTTTCTAATGATATATTTTCTGGTGAGGGTCTTAAAATAACATTTGATTTATAGATGGGTATTATAGTAATTTGAATATAGCTTTATATTTTAGTTTTTCATTACAAAAATAGCATGTGCTTAAGTCCTTTTCTCATTTGCATGTTATTATGTTTTTATATTGATCTGTGGGAACTTCTCAGGTTTGTAAGACCACTACAAATATTCTTACTTTTTAGCTGTATTGCTCTCTGGTTAATAATGTGTTTTACCAATAGATAAGTTTAAAGTTTTTATTCAGTAAATTTAAATAATGTCTTTTGTAGTTTCAGTTTTGTGGCATGTTTGTCAGGACTTACTTATCTAATATTATGAAAAAAAGAATCTACCTGTTCTTTTTTTCTAGTACTTTTTTATTTCCATGTTTTATTCAACTCTTTAATCCACTTGGGGTTTATTTTGTTATAAAAGAAGGTAGTTGTATTCCAGTATTTTGTTTTTTCTAAATGCTTACTTATTAAATAGTCCACTTACAGACTACTTGAAATAGCAATTCACATGGATATATTTTTGTATTTTCTTCTACCTCTCAAATTCCTGTACCAGGACCAAACTTCTCAGTAACTCTACATTAATTAGCACTTTAAGGCAAGTTTATTTTTCTCTAATTTATACTATATTTCAATACTAAACATAGGTCTGGTGCTCAGGCCTCATTTCTGACCAATTAAATAAGAATCTGAGGCTCAGTATTTTTTAAAGCTACCCAGATGATTTCAATGTGCAGGTAAAGTTAAGAACCACTAGTGTAGAGGGAAATACCTTTCCATCATACTTCTTGATATAGACCAGGGCAAGGAGGGACTAACCTACTCAACCTACTCTTCTGAAAGCAGCTCGTCAGTTAATTTCTGATTCCAAAATTGTTTAATTAGTTAATTACTGCTCTTCTGATTAGTACTTTGATTCTTCTCCACTCTTATCCCCATAGATGCCATCCTGTCTTATTTCTATCTTTTAGTAGTTATGTGAAATTTATTATTTGCTAATGTCACCCTGGTTTTTACAGAGCTTCATGCATATTTGTAATTTTGGATGGAAAGAGAGATAATCCACTGTCTTGACCCAATCTTATCTCTTTTTGTTTCTCAGTCTCACATGTGAATAACAACTTGGCTGAATATAAAATTAAGGAGGTTGGGGGAGCTTTCTATTTTTTTTTCATTTTAACTTACAAAAAAGTGTTGAGAATAGTATAAGGAACTCCCATATATCCTTTATCCACCAAATGTTTGAATTTATCCTATTTGTTTTATTGTTTTCTCTCTCTCTCTTTTATATAAACATTTAAAGCTATAAATTTCTCTAATTCCTGTTTCAGCTACATTCTGCAAATTTTGATATATTTTCTTTATCATTTAATCCAAAATATTTTCTAATATCCAGTATAGTTTCTGTTTTGACCTATGGGTTATTTAGAGATGTATTATTTAATTTTTAAATACTTAGGGCTTTTCTAGATACCTTAAAATTACTGATTTCTAGGGCTTCCCTGGTGGCGTAGTGGTTGAGAGTCCACCTGCTGTTGCAGGAGACACGGGTTTGTGCCCCGGTCTGGGAGGATCCCACATGCTGCGGAGCGGCTGGGCCCGTGAGCCATGGCCTCTGGGCCTGGGCATCCGGAGCCTATGCTCTGCAACGGGAGAGGCCACGGCAGTGAGAGGCCAGCGTACCGCAAAAAAAAAAAAAAAATTACGGATTTCCAATTTTAAATATACTGTGGTCTGAGAATATACTCTACAATCTTTTGAAGTGTATGGAGACTTGTTTATGGTACAGTACATGGTCTATCTTGGTGAACATTCAGTGTGCACGTGAGAAGAATGTGTATTCTGCAATTATTTTGTAAATCTCAATTAGATCAAGGTGGATGATAGTGATATTCAGATCTTCAATATCAAGATTCAACAAACTACAGCCTGTGGACCAAATCTGGCCTGCAGCCTATTTTTATACATCCTATGAGCTAAGAATGAGTTTTACATTTTTAAGTGTTGTAAAAAAAATAATAATAATAAAGAATATACCACAGAGGGACTTTCCTGGTGGCACAGTGGTTAAGAATCTGCCTGCCAATGCAGGGGACACGGGTTCAAGCCCTGGTCCGGGAAGATCCCACATGCTGCGGAGCAGCTAAGCCCAGGCACCACAGCTACTGAGCCTGCACTCTAGAACCCGTGCTCCACAACAAGAGAAGCCACTGCAGTGAGAAGCCTGCTCACTGCAACAAAGAGTAGCCCCCGCTTGCCACAACTAGAGAAAGCCGGCACGCAGTAACAAAGACCCACTGCAGCCCAAAATAAATAAATTAAAAAATATATATATATACCACAGAGATCACTTGTGGCCCACAAAGCCTAAAATATTGGACTATCTGACCCTTAATAGAAAAAGTTTGCTAACTCTCGTTCTGTATCTTTATGATATTTAATTGTTCTATTAATTACTGAGAAGGGGGTGTTAAAATCTCCCACTGCAGTTGTGGAATTATCTATTTCTCCCCTTAATTCTGCTGATTTTTGCTTTATGCATTTTTAAGTTACTGGGCACATACACAATTATTATGTTTTCCCTTTAAGCATTATGAAATGTTTCTTCGTATCTATGATAATTCTCCTAGGGGAATTATCTATTTATCTAATTATCTATGACTTCTATTTTGTCAGATATTAATATAGCCACTTGAGCTTTCTTATGCTTGTGGTTTGCATAGTGTATCTTTTCCCATCATTTTACTTACAACCTCTTTGTTTTTTCATGTTTAAAGGTCGTCTTGTAAACAACCTATAGTTGAATCTTGGTTTTTTATTTAGTCTTACAATTTCTTCCTTTTAATTGGAGTAGTTACTTCATTTACATTCAACATAACTATTGACATGATTAGGTTTGTTTTTACCATGTTCCTGTTTGTTTTTAGTTTTATCTCACCTGTTTTTTGTTCTTCAATTCCCCTTCCCTATCTTCATTTGGTTAAGCAAATATTTTTAGTATTCCATTTTAATTCTTCTATTGGCTGTTTGCCTGTACCTTCTTGAATTTTTTGCAGTTGCCTTAGTGATTTCAGAATGCATCCTTAAATTATTAAAATACTACTTAATGTTGTCCTACTTCACTAAAAATGTAGGAACTTGGAGAAGGATAGCTACACATACTCCCCTTTGTCCTTTGTGCTGTTGTTGTCATACATATTAGAAGATCTACATGAATAATGGCCTCACATTATACAGTGTTAGGATTTTTGCTTCAAAAAACTACATGGTTTATTTCAGCTTTATTGAGGTCTAATTGATGTACAATAAACCACACACATTTAGAATATAAAATTTCACAATTGGACGTATGTATAAACTCATAAAACTGTCACAACTTTCAAGATAGGAAACATATCCACCATTCCAGAAAGTTCCTCAGACTTTTTTGTAGTTCCTCCCTCCTTCTCAATCCCCAGGCAATTACTCATGTGATTTTTGTCACTACAGGTTAGTTTGCATTTTCTAGAATTTTATGTAAATGGAATCATAGAGTATGTGCTATCTTTTGTCTGGCATTTTCTACTCTGCATAATTATTTTGAGATTCATTCATCTTGATGTATGTATGAATAGTTTGTTCCCCTGTATTGCTGAGTAATAGTCCATGGTACGGATATACAACAATTTGTTTATCCATTCACATGTTGGTAGACATTTGCATTGTTTCCAGTATTTAGCTATTATAAATAAAGCTGCTGTGAATATTCATGTACAAGTCTTTGTGTAAACATAGGATTTCATTTATCTTTGGTAAACATCTAGTAGTGGAAGGCTGAGTAGTATGGTAAGTGTATTATAACATTTTAAGAAATTGCCAAATTTATCCAAAATTTTACATTCCTATCAGTATACAAGTTATAGTTACTCTACTTCCTCACTAAGACTTTGTACAGTCTTTTTAATTTTAGCCATTCTTGTGGGTTATGTACTGGTATTTAGTTAGGTTTTATTTTAATTTCTCTAATGACTGATTATGATGAGCTCTTTTCATGTGCTTATTTGCCATCTGTATATCTTCTTTGCTGAAGTGTCTGTTTCAATCTTTTCGCTATTTTTATTGGGGTTGCTTGTCTTATTTTAATTCTGTTATAACAGTTCTTTATATATTCTAGACACAAATCCTTTAACAGGTATATAGTTTACAAATATTCTTTTCTAGTCTGTAGTTGCCTTTTCATTTTATAATAGTGTCTTTTGAAAGGCAAAAGTTTATAATATGGTAAAATCAAATTTATCATTTTTTCCAGTAGGGTATGTGCTTTTTTGTGTCATATTCAAGAATTTTTTTGTGAACCCAATTTCACCAAGATTTTCTCCCATGTTTTCTTCTAGAAATTTTATAGTATATAATTTTATAGCTTATAATTGTAGCTCCTATTATACACTTAGGTCTCTAATTCATTTTGAGTAATTTTTGCAAATTATGTGAAGTAAGCAGTGAGGATCATTTCTTTGCATATTATTCTAGCACCATATGTTGAAAAGATTATCCTTTGCCCATTGAATTATCTTGGAACCTTTGTCAAAAAAACATTTGATCATATGTGTATTGCTCTATGCATGTACTCTGAATTCTGTTTCACTAATGCCAAATACCAAACTACCTTGATAACCATAATTTTATAACATGTCTTGGAGTCAGGTACTATAAGTCCTCCAACTTTGTTCTTCTTTTAAAAAATTATTTTGGCTATCTAGATTCTTTTCATTTCTATATAATTTTTTAATTGCTTATCAGTATTTAAAGTATATACTCTGGAATTTTCATTGGAATTAGGTTGAATCTATCAACTTATAAGCATTGACATCTTAACAATATTGATATTCCAATCCATGAACATAGAATATTTCCACATTTA